CCATGGGGCAAGTGCAAAAGGACCCAAGAGGCTAGTGGGCTTTAGCAACATCTGCAGAGCAGCTCAATCACTCTGCAAATACGTTAAGACTTTTCCCTTCCACTGAACTGCAGTGATAGGGGACAATATGACAATCACTAACTAGATAGTAGCAAGGTGAAGTCAGGATTGCAGGAAAGGTAAATTTGTTAGTCTCTAAGGTGCCACAAGTACTCCTGTTCTTCTTTTTGCGGATACAGACTAACACAGCTGTTACTCAGGAAAGGTATATTTGCATTGCAAGAGAATGTTAACGTGAGGAGGAATGGTTGGAGCTGGTTGTTGGTCAGAAAATGCCTAGGATGAGAGAGAATATAGTTCTTCCTTACAATGACTGCAGCAAATATATTATGTGTTTATCTTATTAGAAATCTAGTAATATTCTCTACACCCAAAGCCCTGCACAAACTTGGACATGCACTCTCCCCAGTATAGATACAGGTGAAGAAATCCCAATACTCACTCAGGAGTAGAGGGTCTGGTCTGTTTGAGGAAAGTTTCATAAAGCACAAAGAACGGAGCCTCGGGAAGTACAGGGGCAAGCAAGGGAGAGTCACTGATTAAATGAACCCATGATGGAGTATTCATCCTAAAATAACATGAATGGAAAGGAAATATGAGTATCAGGAAAGAAATTGTCTCATGTATCTCCTGCCTCCTCATATACCATAATTTACATTAATAACACTGAATGATCCCACCACCTGGTAAAATCAATTTTAATGCAACTTTCTTCTATCGTCTAATAAAATCTCTATTGTTTCATCAACAAAAATTTCAAATCAATTTGGGGAACTGGGCTCCTGCAGACTCCTAAATTCTCATATCAGCTAAATGGGCAAGAGAAAGGAAAAGCAGTGAGCCCCATGACTCCCTAATCCCTATATGGCCATCAGCTGTCCCACCACGAGCTTTATTTCATCAGCCATTCTTCTTGGTCTTGGTCACTACCAAAGGAGAAAATAAACTCCATTGAACCAGGGATGGAGTGTTCCATTACTCACAGGCAAAGGATTTTAGGGAATAATCTCTTTACAAGTGATTGAGATCTTTGGAGGAGCTCTCAGTTGCCCCTTCCCCAAACTGCACTGTAGAAATACCTTTGTAAGTACGTTGTCCTCTGAGTAGAGCTATTCCTCACTCCGTGCCTACTCTATAGTCCCAGTGAAATACAGAGAGCAAAGTTGAGATCACACTAAACATGTGACTGCTGCATTTTCTGTTCCTAATTCCCTTCTTTTCTCACTCTTGAGAGCATCATAAACTAGAAAAATGGGTCCCAAGCTCCAGATATGGGCATTCCCAGACTTTGCTGGGGTCCAGGCAGGAGGCACACCCTTGGCTAAGGAAAAGTTTTTTGAACAGTGCTGCATCCATATTTTCAGAAAGATTGGGGCCCTGTTCCACACATGTACCTGAAACCCTGCAGCCTCCAAAGTACTCTAACCTAGTGCAAGGAGTATGCTCATTGCCAGAATTACCTGATGAAGGAGGATGGATCTGCCTTTTTGAGAGGTGAAGAGGCTTCATTAGGCAAGAAAAAGTATGTGAGGAGCCAAAAAGTAGCTGAAAATTGGGTGTGGACACGTGTTCTGGCCCTTGATGGACCCTTCATCCTAAATGAAATGGAAACAACAAAATGTTAGACTCCTCCCAGTGCCCTACGCATTCCTATCGATTTAGGGTTGGAAAACACAGTATGTTTATTATTCTGTTCCTCTGCGTAAACTGACAAACAATATCCCAATGAGTTCCTAATAAGAGTATTTTACCAATAACCGAAGCAATTTATGAACTGTGGGTTTAAGGAATGCTGTGAACAGTAGAGGAGATAAAGGATTGCTGACTCCAGCATTGAGCAGGAAACCTGATTTAAAAGGGTGAGTTTTTGAGGCACCTAAAAATATTATTTTAGGAAGGGATCTCTGAGAGGAACCCAGACATTTAACCACTCAACTGTTAGGGGGTTCAGAAGGAGACATGCGACACTATACACTAAGCAGAGCTGCCTGCAGGTTTATGTGTGAAGCTGTCAGTGGCCTACATGGTATTCGGAGGCTTTTTGGCTACACTATGTGGCCCAAACTCTGACCTTTTTCCCTGTCACTTCCCCTCCCCCATATACTTTGTCATTCTGTACAGTGTGTACAAGGTAAAACTTTTCTGATCTTCTTACCAAGAATCCAACATTGACTTCAGGTAATTCATCATCCACTAATGGGTTCTCAGACCTTAATTGAATAAAAATAGAGACATTTACATTAGACATTAGGGAAATCTTACATGCGGTTAAAGAGAGATGATCGGACAATGGGAGTATCTTGTCTTCTGAAAGTGACCAGTGCCAGATGCTTCAGAAGGAATGAACATTACTGGGCAATTTCAAGTGTTGTATAGTCCCAGCTTCTAGCACTAGAGGTTTAGGATACCTGGAGCCTGGGAATTGAGTCCCTGACCATCTTGACTAATATAGCCATTGATGGAGCTATCGTCCATGAATTTATCTAATTCTTTTTTGAACCCAGTTATACTATTGGTCTTCACAACATCCCTTGGCAATGAATTCCACAGGTTGACTATGCATTGGGTGAAGAAATACTTCATTTTGTTTTAAATCTACTGCCTATTAATTTCATTAGGTGACCCCTTTTTATTGTGTTATGTGAGAGGGAAATAATACTTCCCTACTTTGATAGATGGATAGAGAGATGTTGTGGTGATTGGTGATATATATATATATATAAAATTCACTGGCTAGACAGAGGATTATTATTGACTTTTGAAGATAGGACTGTTTTTCAGGTTGGTACTCATCTCATTAGTGATGGGGCAAAGGAATTAATTAAACAATGAGGTGATCTCTGCAGCTGAAGATGGCCTTAAAACTGTTCCCATATCTCATACAATATCCCTCTGTTTAAGAGACTGATCAAGTCCTATTTAAGGTTTTTCCCAGAAAACAAACCCAGTAAGCTATTGCGACAGTGGAGTAGGCTCTGCTGCTTTCTTTAGGACAAGTTCAAAATTAGGTTTGTAGCAGTTGGAAAGGCATTTAGCAGCTGCCTTTTCAAGGCAGTTAATATGATCATGAAATAAATTAAAAACCAGCATTGTAAACCAAGAGTCAAATAATTTCTGAGCAATTCTTATGGCATTAACTCTCTCTGAGTCCTTATTTCTATAATGAAGTTAAGAGTCCTTCAATATAAAGAAAAGTCAGACAGTGAAGCCCTTGGTGCTGCAGGGCAAAACATGCTCCTTGAACAATCCTTTGCCAGATCTACCCATTGTGCCCACAAAAGTGGAAAATACACAGGCTACTGCACTAGGATTATAGTGGAGCTGCTTTAGGTCACCTAATCATTGTCTTTGCAATCCATAAAACAGGGAGTGGGCACAAGTGAGGGGATAGTGAAACAACTAGATTTTAACTTGCAAGGGGTTACCCATCTTATAATGGACACAGATACCACTAATATGTGCATATGTGGGATAAAGTGAGCCTCACTGATATTGAATTTATAAGACACATAACAATACATGACATGGACTCCTGGATTAGTATGGGGAGAATTATTTAAGGGCCATAAATTGATTTTCCTAGATTATTTCAAACAGGATGGATTTTATTCTTAGTGTTTTAAGATCTCATAATTTGAAGTAGATCTGATGTTAATAAAATATATTATGAAGAGAACTGAGTGGATTAGGGGATTGATCCTGAGAACACTGCTCTTTATATGGGCCAGATCAGTATTGAAAGCAAGCCAATGGCAAAGCTGGGGACTAGATCTCAGAAGTCTG